TTTTGAATCTCTCAAAATTCAAAGCCTGTAGTAGGACATTGATGAATTAATTGGTTGAGCCCAGTTCACTTACCTAAATCTTAGCTACTGGGGAAATAGGAAAAGGAATATGTCTATTTGCCCACCTTCATCTTTCCTTCTACCTACTTTGGGATTACATCAGATAGGAGAGGTATTTGCATACTGGGCAGCTATATGGCAAGTATCCACAGACAAGTTTTAATCTAGAGCTTACAAGTCTGATCATGCTATAGTTGCCAAGTATTCCATCTTATTCTTTTCATTGAATGGCACTGACTAGTGGATAGTGGTTCTATTAATAATTCAATAAACTTAGATATAATTATAGTATGTTTTTAAAATACTTTTTTACAAGAATCTCAGAAAGATTTATGCCTTTGTCTGACAGGTCTATTGTCTTGGTAAGTTATACCAGTGATTAAGGTATTATTGCACTAAACTATGCAAGAAATTGTGTGTGGGGGTATGTATCTTGGGGAAGAGAATAATAAATTTAGTAGAGTTCAGAATTCATAGACTTTTTAACATGAAGGGAAGTTAGCAATTAGTTCAGTGGTTCTTAATTTTAGCTACATTAGAATCATTCAGGGAGGCCTTAAAAAAATACTGGTGGGTAGAACTTCTACCCTAGATGTTTTGACTTAATTGATCTGGGTTGGGGCCCAAGCATTTATGTGGTTTTAAAATGCCCCAGGTGATTTTAATGTGTAGCCAGGGCTGAACACCATTATCTAGTCATTTACTGAGTTCACACAATCATTTGTTACAATGGAGAAAAAAACAACAAATTGGATTTTTAAAAAAATCTTAATTTGAATCTCTTTTGTACCGTTTTATTGATCTTAAGAAAGTAGCTTATCCTCTCAGTGTCTCAATTCTTTGAATCGTAAAGAATACTATATACTGCCCTAGTCAATAAAAAGAGATTTCTCCAGGGATGCCTGGGTGGGTGGCTCAGTGGTTGTATCTGCCTCTGGCTCAGGGCCTGATCCCAGGTCCCGGGATTGAGTCCCTCATTGGGCTCTCCACGGGGAGCCTGCTTCTCCCTCTGCCTATGTCTCTGCCTCTCTCTGTGTCTCTCATGAATGAATAAATAAAATCTTTAAAAAAGAGAGATTTCTCCATTGCAGGAATAGAAAAAATGATCACTGAGGATGAATAACTTACCCAAACCTAATCACAAAATGTTGGGAGTAATTAAGGATGTCATTTAGCTTTTTATACTCACTTGTGCCACTAGACCATGTTGCCTCTGTTTATGTTTATGGTCCGAAACCCTATTAAACAATTTGCCAAAATGTCAACTATAATTCAGTTTGTTTTTAGTTTTAACATTCCCACTTTTAATATTGCTAAAAATGAAGTCTTCATTCTCAGGCATAACTAAGGTAATTATTAAGGTCTTGATTGGGATATGACTTTCTTTTTTATGGTTAAACAGACGATCTAGAAAGTGGTTCCTTATCTGACACAGAAAGAGGACAAGGGAGTGAATGATTAATTTGGTTCATGGTGTCCCTTTAAATATTTTTAAATATTGGAATTCATTAAAGTTACCAAGAATATTTACAAATTAAAATTATGTTTTCATTGTCTTAATTTGATTTTTTAAGTTTATTTTTGAGTCTTCATCTTCACTGTATTATCATCAAAAAATATTTGCTACTTTACTACATGCCCTATGGTGTGCTAGGGACTAAGATTCAAAAATGAACATGAAAACTTTCTTAGAGAGCTTATAAACAAATAGGTATAATACCAGGGGAGGGCTAATTCTCCCACCTCAGTGTTTCAGTTGGAAAAGATTAGAAAATTTTCTAACGATACACTTTATAATAGTTTCTTATTTGCTTTTTATTTCTACTGCTAATAGGTTTCCTGGGGCTCCAGGCTTCTTTCAACTAGATAGAGCTCCATGCTGGCTAAGTAGACTAAGGGCTCAAAATGAAGCCATAAACAAGGGATGGTACCTTCCTTAAACAGGTATATAGATTGACCACCCTTCTTCCCACATGGTCAGAATTGTACTTAGTGGGGCGCCTGGGTGGCTCAGTTGGTTAAGCATCTACCTTCGGCTTGGGAGATGATCTTAGGGTCCTGGGATGAGTCCACCAGGCTCTCTGGTCAGTGGGGAGCCTGCTTCTCTGCCTCTGTTGCTCCCTCTGTGTTCTCTCGCTCACTCTCTCTCAAATAGTCTTAAAAAAAAAAAAAAGAATTGTCCTTAGCACAGCATGGGATAAAAAGAAATATATGACATAGTCATACAGAATGAATAAGAGCTTTAGGAATTTAGAAATAGGGGTAAACAGAATGAGGTGCTATTGTTAAAGACTTGTTCATTTCATTTTAAGAGCAAAAAGCTAAGCCATTTTTTTAGAATATTTTATTTATTTATTCGTGAGAGATACACAGAGAGAGAGGCAGAGACACAGGCAGAGGGAGAAGCAGGCTCCATGCTGGGAACTGGATGTGGGAATCCATTCCGGAACTTCAGGATCAGGCCCTGGGCTGAAGGCGGCGCTAAACCTCTGAGCCACCAGGGCTGCATCTAAGCCTTTTTTTTTTTTTTTTAAGATTTTTTATTTATTTATACATTATATATATATATATATATATATATATATATATATATATATATATATATATATATAGAGAGAGAGAGAGAGAGAGAGAGAGAGAGAGAGACAGGCAGAGGGAGAAGCAGGCTTCATGCAGGGAGCCTGATGTGGGACTCGATCCCAGGTCCCCAGGATCCCACCCTGGGCCAAAGGCAGCACTAAACCGCTGAGCCACCGGGGCTGCCCTAAGCCATTTTTTAAAGTAAATATTTTTCTTATAACATAGAATTTCAGTCAGGAATATCAGAGATATATGTGGCTGTTCAGCAGATTGGAAATTATGGTGTTTTCTAAAAGGGAACCTGTTTTCTACGTTGGAGAAATCTTTTCATTTATGGGCTTTAAGTTAAAAAAACAGAGATTTTTAATATAATTTTTATATAGTTTTGGAGCTTTCATTTGTGTTTGAAACATAAAAGAGTGAAACAGGGTACACTGAGAAATATAGTATTTTGTTTCATAAATGCAAAATTTAGTTTATCTGTAAAATATTTCACATAATGGAAATATTTTTAAATTTATCAATTTTGAATGAACTTTCAAGAAATAAAAAAAATGATCAGTGGTATGATTTAGTAGTTGCCTAAACTGTTACTTTTTACAGATATTTTGGTTTTATTGAAATTCACTTACTTCTCAACTGCTATGACTATATACAAAGTTAAATTTTTTCACTATCTGTATTTTAAGTTTCTGGCAATTATTTTGTTTTATGATTACTTAAAATAATTTATTGTATGATGAACCACTCTAGATATCCAATATTCTAACCCTCAGACAAAATTAGTATGTCCCTTTCCTTTTCCGTTTGGTCTTATTTGTAGTATAAGTGGCATTCATTCATTCAAATAATGATGTAACTTACATTGACAAGTCTCTGCTTCTATGAAGCCTGCATTCTGGTGGTATATAAACAGAGGATGGCTTTCAAAAATAAACTTTTTAGACCTAACACAGTATCAGTGCCAGGTAAACGCTGTTAGGTGCTTCCAGCTGCTTCTGTTTTTCATTATATTATTCCTTCCACTGAAAAATAAATCCAAGCCCAGCAGATCAATCTCTATCTACTTGGAAAAACTGGAATCTGCTCTGAGAAAAGTATTAGGTTGGAATGCAACAAAATATAATACCTCTATATGCCACATATAAAAAAAATTCCTACCTCAAATACAATAATAAGTACTATTGCACTTTATAAACCACTTTGAGATCCCAAACCACTGTGTGAGGTAGTCAGGGAGATACCATCATTAGGGGGCTAAGAGGAGGAGCTGCATATTTATGATCTAATCTCAGCTCTGTGACCCTCAAAAAGCACCTTAACCTCTCTATTGATACGTAAAATGTTAATGCTCAAAATTACTTCATATGATTGCTGTGAGGATAGGATTAAAAATAGAGTTAAAATATTTAGTACAGTGTTTGCCATTACAAACAACAAATGGTGACTATTTTTTTTATGAGTGATATTATCCTTCGTCTGATTTTACAGATAAAGAAAATGAAGTTTAGGAAGGTTGAGGCCTAAGGATTCACAGCCATAAAACGGACAGGCAACACTTTGAACCCTAAACTTCTCACTCCAAAATCCTTCCTTCAGTTTTATGACAGTGAAAAGTAAGATGGATCAAGGCAGATGGAAAGTAAAATTGGATCAGTCAGAATATTAACAACTCTAGTAAGTTTATTTCAGCTGAAGCTTATAAGGTTATCACCTGACCCATCTACCATTATCAAATATTCTTATATTATGAAACAAGTATGTTATCATATGCTTCTATAGCATCTTCCTTAAAAAATAACAAACCCTATTTCCTGTTTTTCCTCCCCTTGGTTCCTTTATTTTAGGCTTCGCCTTACTTTAAGTCTAACTTGATCTCTAACTATTTGCTACAAAAAAGTTTCCGAAAGTCTTCCACAAACATTTTGTTATTTACTCTGAAACGGAGTACACAGAGCAAGGTCGGCATTACACTCGGTTTACACATGAGATAACAAACTTAGCAAGGTTAAATGCCTTAGATCCAGGTCACAAAAGTAGTCAGGCTTTCTGACTCTAAACCCTATGCTAAGATTATTATCGCTGGGATTTTTAAAAAATATTTATTTATTATTTATTTATTTATTATTTATTTGTGGGGGGGGGCGGGGGGACAGAGACCCAGGCAGAGGGAGAAGCAGGCTCCACGCAGGGAGCGCAGTGCGGGACTCGATCCCGGGTCTCCAGGATCACGCCCGGGGCTGAAGGCAGGCGCTAAACCGCTGAGCCGCCCAGGGATCCCCTCGTCTAGGATTCTTAAAGAAAAGCTAGGTGGTTAAGTTACTGCTCAACACACTAACTTAAGTATGAAAAGTTATCACCTTAAAAAGTCGAAAACGCAGCAAGGGACTGGAACTCTGGTTAACACTGTCATTTTTAAGTAACAGGGTCTGGTCCCGAAGAGACGTGTAAAGATAGGGCTCGAACACCGAAAAGCAGGGTTTCCTGGCAAACCCAAGCCTGGTAAAAGCGCCGCACTGCTTGGCCGACTCCACACAAAACTCGGGCCTCCCACGTGTCTTTCAGGAAATGCCCAGAACACGAGGGATAAGGGAGGCCAAGGAGGGGCTGGGAGAGGTACACACAGCATACAGGGCTTTCCCGGGTGACCGAGGACGCGCGGAGGAAGGGAGCTCGCTGCTGAGCACCTGGCGCGCACCGACGTCCGGAAGCAGCCGGGCCCCGCCCTCGGGAGCCCCCCAGTGGATCTGCTGCTCTGGTTCGAGAGGGCTGGGGGAGGCGAGAGCGCGCCACAGGGACGCAGAAAGTACGCGTAGAGCGACAGGCGGGCACCGGTCAGAGTCCGAGTTTCGCGGGTCTAGGGCCTGACCGCAGCCGTGAGGCCTCCAGGCCGCCGTAGCCCCGCCCCCTCGCGCGTGGCGCCCATGACGCGGGGCGCGCGGGCCGCGCTCCTTACAGAGCTCGCTCTCAACGAACGGTCGGCCTTGCTGCGCCTGCGTGATCGGGAGGGGAAGTGAGGCGGTTTCTTCGGCGCCTTTTCCGGCGGCGGCGGCGGCAGCGGCAGAGCTGGGAGGAGGAGGTGGAGGCCAGAGGGAGCCCGCGCTCAGGGCGGCGGCTTGAGGTAACCTCCTGAACTGAGCTGGAAAGACGAGTCACCTGGGCCTCCGCTCCCTTCTGGCGGGCCGGCAGTAACTCCCTTCTTCCTCTCTGTGTCTCTGCAGGCGGCGCACCGAATTCCGGCGAGGACCAATGACCTGACGAGGCGCCGGAGCCGCGCTGACTCTCGGGTGGCCTGGGTCGGTGGTGAGCCCGGTGCTCGTGGACCGGCGGGTGGGCCGGAGGGCTTCGACCTCCCGCGGCGGAGTGAAGAGAAGGCGGAGGAGCGGGAGCCGCGGCGGCGCTAGCGCGGCGCTTGCGGGGGGAAGGGCAGTTCCGGGCCGGGCCGCGCCTCAGCAGGGCGGCGGCTCTCCCGGCGCAGACTCAGGGCCCCGGCGGCAGCGGCGTCTGGAGGAATCAAGTTGTGCGGTCGGTGATGCCCGAGTGAGTGGCGAGCCTGGGCCTCTGCCCCGAGGAGGCAACTCCCACGCAGGCCGCACGGGCGCCCTCGCGGCTGGGAGGCTTCGTTTCGGTTTCGCGGCGGCTGCGGCGTAGTTGGCTGAGGGGACCCGGGACACCTGAATGCCCCCGGCCCCGGCTCCTCCGACGCGATGGGGAAGGTGCTATCCAAGATCTTCGGGAACAAGGAAATGCGGATCCTCATGTTGGGCCTGGACGCGGCCGGCAAGACAACAATCCTGTACAAGTTGAAGCTGGGCCAGTCGGTGACCACCATTCCCACAGTGGGTTTCAACGTGGAGACGGTGACTTACAAAAACGTCAAGTTCAACGTATGGGATGTGGGCGGCCAGGACAAGATCCGGCCGCTCTGGCGGCATTACTACACCGGGACCCAGGGTCTGATCTTCGTAGTGGACTGCGCCGACCGCGACCGCATCGACGAGGCCCGCCAGGAGCTGCACCGCATTATCAATGACCGGGAGATGAGGGACGCCATAATCCTCATCTTCGCCAACAAACAGGACCTGCCTGATGCCATGAAACCCCACGAGATCCAGGAGAAACTGGGCCTGACCCGGATTCGGGACAGGAACTGGTATGTGCAGCCCTCCTGTGCCACCTCAGGGGATGGACTCTATGAGGGGCTCACATGGTTAACCTCTAACTACAAATCCTAATGAGCATTCTCCACCTATCCCCCGGAAGGAGAGAAATCAGAAACCCATTCATAGGATTATCGCCACCATCACCTCTTTCAATTGCCACTTTCTCTTCTTTTGAATTTGAACTCTGGAGTTACTGTTCTACGGTTGGGGGGGGGGTGGGGGCGTTTAGGGGTTTCCTTTTTTGTTTCTCTTTCTCCCCCCCCCCTTTTTTTTTTGCTTTGCATTAGGATGCTCCGATCTGACATTTGACATGACCACAAAGTGCTAGATGCTCTTACTGACTTCCAGCAAATGGGATGGGGGAAATATAGCAGTTTTTGGTAAAGTCCTTTATAATAATGGTTTGATTTTTTTATTTCGAGAGAATCTTTTTTGCAATGTATGCTTTTTTCCTTTTTGCCCAGTTTCCTTATCACTTGCTGTAGATGGCTTATTTTGCATTCATGCAGACTATGTTGCAAGTCTGTTTCATCTAGTAAACTGAAAATTATTGCTTAATCAAACTGCCGTTTGTCTTTTATATTTAAGGCCTTTACTCCTCCCTTATGAGTTTTACCTTTAACTTAGTGATTTCAAATGTGACCTTTTATATCTAAGACCAGTATAGTAAACTTAGCCTACAGTGGCAAATAATGAGTAATATCATTGTAATATGTTCCAGTTGCACATCAGTATGTTAAACAGGTAATGTAAGAAGTTCTTTGAAATGTCAGCTATTAAGTTCTGAAATATACATCATGCATGAGTAGGGCTAAAACGCAAGTTCCTTATTACATAGCTAACTTACACTGCATAAAAAGATGAAAGTGTAACCCGTCAACAGATTTTTTTTTCACTGCAAAAGTTAGCAACTTTGCTGTGTTTCCCTCTTTTTTAACTTTAAAAGTAGACTTTTTCCAGAAAATGGAGCAATAATGGTGTAGGCCACACACAGATGAGATATCTGTAGATATTTTAAGTGACTTTGGGGCAAAACTGGAATATATACTTTTACCACATTTCAAATGTCTAAGACCAATAGTTTAAAAATTACTAGAATGTTTACTTTGTTCATTAATAAAAGCATTTAACAATTCAAATTATACACATTTTCTACCTAGTTGAAAGAATACACATTCCTGTTTTCACATTAGAGCAACTGATTAAGCTGAAGATAGAAGTTTTTTATAATTGAGTGATCCACATCTCCATTAATTAGAACACTGGAAAAGATGTTTTATAAAAAAGGTATTTAATTCTGTTTGATTGTAGGATTAACTCATACAAATAGATCTCCTGTTGGTTCATTAATACACTATCTCCTTTAAGGAAGGAAATGTGATGAATGAATGATGTGTAGACTTGAGAAATGACAATTAAAGGGGAAGTAGGATGAAGAAAGAACCTACAGATGACAATGAATGTAAACTTATTTTTCTTCAAGGGTAAGCAGTGTGCTCACTGGTGATATCCAGATCCTAGCAAGATTACTTGCTTAGCTTGTTAGGACCCGTAACTAGCTTATTGAGACCACTATGATGATACCTTGAACCAAATGTTAATGCTTGATACAGAATTGTGAGCAGCATCTGGTTCTCATATAGCCTTAAGGATTAATTTTAGAGATCCTCAAGGAATTAAACGTAGGGAATTTAAGAAATGTAGACTGCAAAGGCAGTATACAGGAAAAGGTGGAGTGGGTTTTGTTCAGGAGGGTGTCTGAAAACTAAAATGGAGCGGGATATCATGGTACATAGTTGGACAGTATTGGTCCTTCGTGCTTTGGCCATATTGTATAATGGAGCTTTTACCAAAGATGTATGAGAAGCATACGGTATAAAAAGTTAACTATTGAAAGTAAAACTCTGACACATTTTACTTAAAGCAGATGAGAAAAGGTGCTATGTTGTAGGCTCCTGATGGTGCAGAGGGATTTTTTAATACAAAATGCAACTAAGGTATAGAGTTCTCAGTTTTGCTTTAGAAGTATTTCTAGAAATGAAGCTGACAGACACATCCGAGAACGTTTTAGTTGCTTTTAAATTTCCCAAAGCTCCACCATAAATTTAATTCTTAGTGATTTAAATGATTGCATTTTAAGGTACATAAACATGGGTTATACAAATATCAATGCTATAGTAACATCTTTAGACAAGACAAGCACAAAGGTATAAATGCCTAAACTGGAGGAAACTTGAAACCCTCATCTTAATTCCTAAATGTAGTATTTCTAACTTGTGACAGATTGATAGGCAGCCATTTTTTTTGTGTTTTAAAATAACTGGGAGCATAGTTAAAATTTTATACATCAAGTGATTGCTATTGAATGTTGCAGGTGAGGTGTGGTTATTTTTAGTTTATTTGAAGTGTCTAACTGAAGGGGGGTGGGGGGGAGCAAATATTTGAAATTTGGAAAACCCGAAACTTTTGGTAAGAATTTGTAATATTCATTTACATTTTCTTTAAGGATATACAAGGTTGGTAATTGATGTAGTTAAATTGAACCATAACCATTGGTGGTCATGGGGCAGGTAATTGTAGCCTGCAGAAAAAGTTATAATCTAGGAATTTAAAAAATAAGATCCTGAAGTTTTTGTTTAATTGCATCAATTTCTGTGTTTATGTGAATTTATAAACTGCAGTAAGTTTTGAATGAGGTTAATCTTGTCTAATATAAGTAAATGAGTCTGTAGACTTGTGATCTCCCCAAACTAAAAAAGTACAGTACTTGGAATTGTGTTCTTTATGGTTGTAGTGTTGGTAAAGCACTAATATGCAGAAAATAAAGGAATTACACAGTGCAGTTTCTCACGTTATGTTACTCGTTTGGACTAGATTAAGTGGGACATGTGTGTTGGGCCGTTATTCTCCAGGGATGTATGGTATAAAGTGACTCGATTTGGGAGTCACCAAGCTTTTATAAGAACAAAAAAGAATTTGGTTCTTACAGTCCTGGGTGTATAAGAAGTCTTTGTACTGATTTAGTTCCACCAAGCTTAATCTGATTTTATGATAACTTAGGACACAAAAGCAGTTGAAAATAATTTTTAAAAACTATGGTTCTAAATAGTTTCTATCATACCATTTTTCCAAAATCACAAACCTTACTGTTTTTAGGAATAGAATTTTGTCTCTAAAGAATTGGCCCATAGAGTTGTCTTAACCCTTGACAATTGACTTGGCAATTTTAAAGTTTGTCTTCTAAAAGCCAGTTGCTTGTCTCATAAGAATGACAGAATTGTAGCT